GCTAAAGAGGGGCTGCGGAGGAGCTGGAGTGTCTCTGGGGCTCCCTGGGACTAGGTTCTGGCTTTGTAGCTGAACAAATGTAGGAAAGTTGGCTCCAGCTAGAGCCCCTCAGCGGGGCATAAGGCCAGTGTCTTGGGTTTGCCCTCCCCTGCCACAGGCATCTGATGGGGCCTCGCTTAAGCCTGAGTAGATCCTAGCTGCCAGGTTCTGGCTTTGGAGAGGCTGTTCACTATCCTGGAAAGCTCTGGAGTTAGGAAAACTAACTAACTAACTAACTAACTAACTAACTAACTAACTAACTAACTAACTAACTATCCTTTCCTCTCTCTCCTCTCCTCTCCTCTCTCTCTCTCCCCCCCTCTCTCCCCCTGGAGCCTCATATCCTTCAAGGAGCCTGGTTAAGTCCTCAATGGCCCTGGATATAGGCGTGTTCCCACAGCGACTCCACAAAGGTGACTCCTGAACAAGGCCTCTCCTCTAGCTGGCCTATGGCCTTCAATGAGGACAAGGGCTGGATCTGGCAGCTCAGTGGAGCCCCAGGGAGGACCTCTGAGGACGGAATGCTCAGCCCCACCCCAGCCCCCTGCAGACTGTGGACTCCAGCCTGGAGTCCTGGGTCAGGGATGAGGGGCAGGGCGGTGGGCGGAGATGGCTCAGAACATGTAGGGGGTGTGCCTGCGAGTTCAGTGGCTTCGGAGCCTGAGCGCTGTGTGTGGCCCTGGGCAGCTCTTGTTGCCTACCCCACACTTTGAGCCTCAGCTAGGACAGGAGTGGGATCTAAAGGTACAAGCACACGCACGCACACACGCACACGCACACACACACCCACCGCCTTCTCTGGTGATTCTTATACTGCCTTCCTGAGGGTCCATGTTTGCAACTGGGTTTTGTCAGTGTGGGCATCGGGAGGATGGGAGAGTGAAGCCCATCAGCCATGAGCTGAGCTTGCCCCGCGGGCCTCTGTCCTCCTTTGTAGCTCGGTTGAGCCCTGAGACCTGTTCTTAGAGGTCCCAGACCTGCTGCTGCGCTGGTGTTGTTTCCTGGCTCCCTTCTGTGTCTCCCCTGTCTAAGCTCTTCTTGCAGCTCCCCAGCCAGCTGGCAGAGCACGTCCCCTGCCAGCCCCTCCAGCTCTTCCATCTTCCACCCCCCCTACCCCTCCCAACCCAAGGCATCCTAAAGGCTTCTAGAATGCACAATGCTTGTCCTACACCCAGCATGCTGGGGTGCCCCTCCCTAGCTTTGTTCCCTGGGTGAATGCAGCCCCAGGTTACCTCTTCCATGCAGTCTTCCAATTGCCACCAGCTCCCAGCCCAGCCTCTGCTTCCTAGCCTGAGCATTCTCTGCCCTGAAATATTCTGGGTCCAACTCTATACTTCATCCAAGCATCCAGGTCTGGAACCTGAGGGTGTGAAATCCGCAGCCCCCTCCCGTGACTCAGTTTCCCGTTCTGAAACTGCTTTCCATTCTCTTTTCACTCACATGATTTAAAAACCAACATGAATATTTGGAGACAGCACCCAGAGTGGCCAGAGCAAACACCATCTGTGGTTTAACTGAGAAAAGCTCTTGCGTCTTCCCAAAAAGGCCCTCTAACAGCCATCACATTGCTAGATCCCATCTAGTTTTGATTCTTCAGGACAATGAGATCATCTTTCATACAGGTCCCCAGAGAGGACGCACATACCCCTGAGCAGTGAGCCTCTTAAGGTATGGTAGCCACAATAGATCTCATAGGCTGCTGCTGCTCATCTCTTCCCATACCCATGGCAGACATCACTAGTCAATCACAGTGATGTCTCCCTGTCTCCTGTGGACAAACTCAAGCATCAGGCAGAGGACTCCCACCCTAGGGAGCCTTTCAACCTCCTCCAAGCTTCCCAACTCTGAGCTGGGGCTGTGGGGCAATAGTGGGGAATCAGAACAAGATCCTTATGTTTGTCTGTTTGTCCTATTAACTTCTGGGTTTTGTGGTCTTGGCTCTGGGTTTTGTTGTATCTGGGCTTCAGCTGCTGTATCTCTAGTAAAGGCAACAAAAGCTGAATTCCTGGACAGGGGGATGAGAAGAAACGAAGCCCAACACAAGTGGGCAGGTGTCTTGCTTGACTTCCTCCTACCTGTCCTCTCCAGTCTAGAGCTGTACCTTCCCCTGGCTGCCTCACATCTGACCTCATTTCCTGGTCTTGCCTTGGGCTCATCTCTGGTCCCCTGTTCTCCTCGAGGGATAATGTTATTCACCATTGTCTGTCCCCCCCTGAGCCCCATTTGTTCCTGCCTGCCTGTGTATCTGTTAGGTGTGTGTGTGTGTGGAGTGTCCCTGAGTGGATTTAAGGACCATGCTCTGCCACAGAGAGATGGGAGACTGAGGCTGAGTTTGTGGGAGCTCTGGTAGTCTTCCCAGAATTCCAGGTTCCTACTCTTCCTTCAAGAAGCTCTCTGTAAATTCTCCTCTCAATGCCAACTTAGACCAGAGTTATGATGGGCTTTTTGTATTTCTCCAATAGCAGTAGAACCAGTCTGTAAAGGCAGTCCCCGGAGCCTCTAGGATCCTAGCTTGTCCTTATGCAGGCTACTGTGGTCTAAGTCAGCCGACTGTCTCTTTTCTAAGCTCCAGTATGGAGGATGGCTATGGGGTCAGAAGACCTGGTCTCCCTCCTATCCCCATCCGATTTATACTACCGTGTGACCTCAGAATGTCTGCTTAGCCTCTCTGGACCTCAGAGGTCCCATCAGCCACATGGGAATTATTCATGTCAATTGAGGGGTGCCCAAGAGGTGATAAAAGCAACTGGAAATGGTCCACTCGGTCAGGGGCTTGAGTTTTTTGTGGGGATGATGGCTGCGTCTGCCTTCTCTGAGGGAGCTGTGCAACTGTGAGTCATCTAACTCTGAGAGAAAATAAGTGTGGCCCTTCTGGCTTCCTGCCCCATGTCCGGCCCTTGTTTGGCTGCACAATGGCTGGGCTGAGGCTGCAGAGTGGACAGCTTAACCCCTTCAAGGTATGGGAACTCTCCCAGCTCCTAGCTCTGAAAGTTAGAATTAGCAGGGCTCCCCTGAGGCTCAGCTGCCCCTGGGCCCCTTGGGGTCGCTCGGTACTTTCCAGTCCATAGATGGCTGGGCTCAGGCCAGAGACGCAGGAGAGTTTTGTGACCCCCTTGCCCACCTGAGGACAGCTAATTGTTCTGGGCTGTCACACACCTTCCTACTCCTCAGCCTCCTCTGTGCCCTGCTCTGAAGAACCTAGCCTCCCACCAGCCTCCCAGATCCTCCAAGCTTTCCATGTGCCCCCATCACCTGTTCTTGGAGCCTTGCCTGCCTATCTCGTTCCTCCAGGGGTAGGTAACAAGCACAGATGCCCGAAGGAGCTTGCAGCCTGGGCAGCTGCGTATATGGCTTCTCACTTCAGCTCTTCCTTTCCCATGCTAGGTACCGCCCCCTGATAGGAGGTGAGGAGGGGGCTTGTGCCTGTGCTTTGGGATTCCGAATCTTTACAGTAGTCACAGCCACCTACTGCTCTGGGGCAGTGGGTAAATCCATCCGTGATTCCCTGGCGATCTGCCTCTCGCTGTGAGCCATTTCAAGAGCCAAGGGTGTAAATCACGTGTAAGGACTGTGAAGACGTTCCCCCCACTTTATGTTCTAGAAGCCAGAGACCCTGGGTAACCACAGGTACCAGAATGAGCCCGTGCTGTGGAGGGCGAGTTCTAGGTTCAAATCTTCATCCTGACTCGTCTCCAAATCTCAGTTGCTTTCTCTGAGTACAGAGAGACTCCTTGGGACTGGATAGCAAATCCAGCAGCCATTGTTTTGGAGTGTTCTTTCTACATGTACTGTCTCCACTGCCCACCACAGATTGTGAATAGAATTGCACCCAAAAATGGCCTCTCCTAATGAAGGTTTGGAGACCTTAGGTAGTCGTCCCAAGGCCACACGGAAGTGAGTAGTCTAAGATCGGTGCTCAGGGTCACCGTCGCTAAGCCAGGCTTTTGGCTCAGAGGTCCTTGTCTCCAGGGCTTTCCAGAGACTTTGTGGAGCTGCACAGCCACGGGAATTCTTGAGCTCTAGGCCCTGAGTATCTGGTATCGGGGGAGAAATGGCAGGCTGCCTTCCTGCTTGCAGCCGCCAAAGCACAAATTGGCCCATGAGTCTGGGGGAGATGAGGGAAGAGATTTCACAAACAGGGCCCCAAGTGTCTAGAGCTGAGCCTCAGAACGCCCATCCTGAAAGTGGGAAACATGCCGGGCACGGGTGGTGCACGCCTTTAGTCCCAGCACTCGGGAGGCAGAGCTAGGTGGATTTCAGTGAGTTCAAGGCCAGCCTGGTCTACAGAGTGAGTTCCAGAACAGGCTCTAAAGCTACACAGAGAAACCCTGTCTCGAAAAACCACCCGCCCCCTCCCCCCCAAAAAAGAAGGAAAGAAAAGAAAGTGGGAGACACTGACAGAGGGAATGAGTACCCCTTTCAGCCCTCCAAATCCCACCCCAGTCCCTTGAGGAGTTGTGGGTAGGGACGACGGAGGGTAAGTCAGACCTTCATAAATCTTCCCCTTTAGCTCTGTTCTTTGGGCAGAAGACAGAGCTACTCCTGGTAGACAGGGAAGCGCAGAGCTATTGTTTGCCCCATTCCACACAAAGCAGATCCCACTCAAATCCAAGGCCCAGGCCAGTCTTCTGCCCTAGCATGCTGGGTGACCCTGGGAATCCTGTCCTCTTTGAACCTATTATCCACAGAAACTTCAGGTCACTGGAGTCTCATGAGTGAGACAGTCTACTGGTAAGACTTCCGAGTCTTTCTCCCACATTGGCTCTGAGATACATGTGTGTCCTAGCACACTAAGAGATATACATTCCTTAGCCCTACTCTGGCCCCAGAGGAGACTCAGGCCCTGGAGAAGCTGTTGTCCCCTAGGAGTCCTACAGTGCCCATCCTCCACATGAACAAGCCAGGGCCCTCCTAGTTCGGGCTCAATGGGACAGGAGAAGAGGGAGGTTTGGGAGTCTTACCGTGTCTGTGAGCTGAAGACTCTCCTCTCCTCAGACTGTCCAGGGCTGAGCTTTGTGTAGAGCTCCGCTGACTGCCTCAGGAGGGGAGAGGGGAGCCACACCCAGCCTGGGAGGGAGGCAGGTTTTCCAACTGGCCCTGGCCCACTTCCCCTCGGGATGGTTTCCTGTTATTGTTCCTTTGTGAGCTGCCTGTGGATCGGCAAGCCCTATGGTGGGCGGCCTCAGCCTGGTCAGCCTGGCCCTGTGGAGGCCTTGGACCTGAGGGTATTCAACTCATACCTCAATTCCAGGTCTCACCCCTGGGGCTGAGGCTAGCACCAGCTGTGGGGCCCTGGACTTTTATCAGTACCTTCAACCATAACCTGAAGGCAGGTGTCACATCCCCCCCCTCCACTTAACAGTTCAGAAAGCTGAAGCTTAGTGGGTCTGAAGTACTCCCAGCTGGACGGAGTAACCAATACAGAAATCCAGCCTCAGCCTCTCCACAGAGATGGCTTTCCACAGTGACTCCATGGAACGATGTGATGAAAAGGGGGTAGTGGCGGCCTCAGGGTTGGGGTGGCTTAGAAATGAGGCAGATGATCACTTTCAGCACTGGAGTGCCTGTTGGCTTCTTCTGGGCAGGGTGGTGTGGATTTCAGTTCCAAGGCACCAGCCTGAGTCAGTTGGTGGGCACCATTTCACTTTATGAATATTGGACGAAGCCAAAGAAATGTAGCTTTACTTCTGATGTGACTGTGGGCCAGTCAGGGCTCTGTTCCTCGGTTTACTCATCTGTAAAATGGGTACAGCCATGGGCCTGAGTCAGCCAAAGAGGAACTTAGAAGACAGTGAAGCAGAAGGTAGACCAGAGTCCCTCAGAACCGAGAAGTTGGGGAGATGAGGTCAAGATTCTGTTCGTTCATTCTGTAGTGAGCTAGTAAAATTTTCAGGTAACTGGCCCAGACCAACTGACTTGCAGTCTTACAAGGCAGGCCCCAAGAATGTACCTTTTGGCAATTTGCCCAGGTTTCTTCCTGGGTGGGAAGTCACCAACTTGACCTGTTATTCAGTGAGGCAAAGGGGGACTATAGGAGAGCAGGCCTTTGTCAGGCATCCGGGACTGGATGGAGAAAGCATAGAGGAGAAGATTTCCTGTTTGGGGTAGGTGGTTTTGGAGACTCCCATTAGACACCAAGTAGAGGCATGGGGTTGGTAAGTGGATGGGTGACATTCAAAGAGAAGCCAAGCTGGTCCATGGGAGTAGACCAGCTTGTGGGGAGGGAGGGCTCAGCCTCTGAAGTTTGCGGGTCCATTACAGGATGATTCTTTAATAAAGGGGCTGTGGGAGCTAGTGAGGTCAGTAGGGTGGCAGCTGAGTCACCCTTGGTAAGGGTGTGGCTAGGACGGCTCCAGATATTGGGCTTGATAAATGAGGTCATAGACTTGATCATAGCAGGTTAAACAAAACTGATTGGAGGGGATGGTCAGGGTAGGGTAGGGGGACAAGGAGGCAAAGTCAGTGTAGCCAGTCATTCCCTCCAGGTTCCCTGAGAATTGAACTGGACCAGAGGCATGGAGATGGAGTCTAAACTTTGATGGAATATTTGTGTTCCTCTCTGCCAGGATCAGCTCTGTCCCCTGCCCTCAGGGTGGGCTGGCCCAGCATAGCCTGCTCTCCTGTGAGGGTTGCCTATCCTGGTGGTCTGCATACTCAAGGAATACGTCTGCCTGGGCAGCACTTTCCACTGGGGCTCATACTCAGCTCTAGCAGGCCACCAGGGGCAGGGCCTGTGCTGCTACCACTGCCAACTCTTTTGGTACTCTAGTCCTGGTGGGTATGCCTGCCCTGAATACCGCCATTGCTGTCATCTGTAAACAACGGATGGACAAGCCTCGAATGTACCCGGTGCTCCAGGGATGGCATTGGAGATCTCCATAGCAGAGGAAGTTCAGACCTCAAAAGGCCAGGCTAATGCTCCTGTGGGTCTCATGCCTGGTTTCACGAACTTCCTGACCCCTGCTCCAAGCCTAAAGGAGGCAAAGAGGGTGACAGGAGGGCACAAGTATGGGACATGGCACTGGGAGCCCAGGAGGCTGTCAGGGAGGCAGGAAATGCGGTGGTCTGCTGCAGCAGACTAGGAGCAAGCTAGAAGAGGAAGGGGTGGAAGGGAAGGCTGTGAAGGGGCCAGGGGATGCCCACCTAGCCTGACCAGGGAGGGAGTCCTGTGTGAGGAACTGCGGGCTGTGGGACTGGCAGACCCCAGGGCCAGATCCTGTCTGTGCCACCTAGAGCAGTTGCTTGGCTTCTCTGGGCTGCTTTCCTCACCTTTGGGATGGCCTTCAGGTCATACTCTTCAGGACTGTAAGGAGGGTCAAATGCAGAATCATTAACCCTAGAAGGCATACTGAACATGTGCTTCATGTGAGTGTGGTCTCTGGGGGCAGGAATGATGGCTCCATGGCCAAGAGTACTTGTTGCTCTTCCAGAGGATCTGGGTTCTGTTCCTAGCACACGTATGGCCACTAATGACTGTAACTCTAGTGCCACAGGATCCGATGCCATCTTCTGGCTTCCTCTTACACTGCATGCACATGGTGCACAGACATATATGGAGGTAAAATTCCCCTCCCCCCCCATAAAATAAAAATAAATACATCTTTTTTTTAAAAAAAAAATGAGTGCGATCCTCAAGCCTCCTACCTCAGAATCACCAGGGTTGGTAAAGGGACTGGAAATGCAGAGTCCTTGACCTCACCTGATGTGGGTAGAGACAAAGCCTGGAGATACTTACACAGGCTGGCAGCCCCTGGGGTTTGTGGCTGAGCACCCACATCCACAAGTCCAATGACCACAGCTTCCCTGCATGCTGCTGCCGCCTAGAGAGTTCTTGATTTAGTTCCCAGAACAAGCCTGGGGAGTTAGATGTTATTAGTCTTGCTACACAGATGGGGAAACTGAGTCTGGGAGTTAAGGGCTATCTGAGGTCGGAGAGCCTGTTGTTGGTGCAATGCCAATTCTGAAACAGGCCTTCAGCTCCACAGGGAAGCTCTTTACCCAGCAGGCTTTCCTGCCTTGCGACAGTGCGTCAACAGAACTCTTCCGGGTCTTTCTGTCTATAAAAATTTCTAGTTTTCTGTCAATAAAAATTCCCCAGTCCCGAGCATTGAACTTTAAGGCAGGAGGTGATGCCTTTGGCTTCATCACAGGTGGTTGTTGTAAAGCCATGTGACCTCCACCTTCTGGGGTCTGCCCATGCTCTTCCATCTCCTGCGTTCCTGTCTCTTCTGTTTGCAAAGCCCCTTGATCTCCCTGATTTTACCTCCTCTGCAGCAGCTTTAGGATTCATGATCTCACTCACCAGCTCATCTTTCTTCTCCTACCCACATGTGTCTCACTGCTGTGCTTGTCCCGATGTGGAGCATAGATGGAGTTCTCCCTAATGGGGACTTGGAGCTGTGCATGCGTCAGAACCGTTGTCGGGGCACGGAGGGCGGATCTGCAGCTTCCCCAGTGACTGCATGTCCCACGGCTTCCCCAGGAGCCTGTCCCATGCTCCACCCTGCCTATGTGCACTCAGTAGAGGGCTCACAGTAGCCCCCTCCATCCCTTCTCAGCCCAGGGCTGCCTTGCTGGGAGTTGAGATGAGCTGTGTCTTGCTATGGCCAGCATTACTGTGGGTTCTTTCCTTCTTGGTTTTCCTTTTCTTTCTTTCTTTTTTTCTTCCTTCCTTCCTTCCTTCCTTCCTTCCTTCCTTCCTTCCTTCCTTCCTTCCTTCCTCCCTCCCTCCCTCCCTCCCTCTCTCTCTCTCTCTCCCTCCCTCCCTCCCTTCCTTCCTCCCTCCCTTCCTTCATTTCTTATTTATTTATTTATTTATTTATTTATTTATTTATTTATTTATTTATTTATTTATTTATTTCAGACAGGGTCTTGCCCTGTAGCCCAGGTTGGGCAGAAACTGATTTTCCTGCCTCAGCCCCTCCCTTGAATACTAAGCTCACAGGTTTGCACCGGTCATTCCTGGCTCTTGATTCCTTTTGGTTTGGTCTTGTTTTTGCTAGTGTGGGCTGACTACCTGATACTTTGACCAGAGCTGAGTGTCACTGAGGAACAGAGAGCAGATCCTATCTGGAGAAGTTACGCAGCACCTAACTACCCTATAGTCTGTCTGCAGTCAGATTTGGTTGCTGAAAAAATTTCCTATTTTTTTCTCCTCTTCTTCTTATAGATAGATGCTCTTGATACCAGAGGCAGCTCTGAGGCTCCTCCTGTGCATCCTACCGTGTGCCATCCTGGTCCTAGGATTTACATCCTATCTCTGATATGATGGCCCTGAGAGCAGGGGGCGGAGCTAACCTTTTTACAACACCCAGTGACTGCCCCCACGTGACTGTGCCTTGCTCCAACTAAGCTCCTTTTTGTATGTCTTGCTCCGCCTTGCTGAACACTGTGGATCAGCCCAGGCCAGCCACTCCTGCTTCCTGCCTCTGAGCCTTCGCCCAGGCTGTCCTTCTTTTCTAGGATGTTCTTCCTTCCTCGGTGTGCCAGCCCAGGCCCTCCCAACCCTTCAATGCCCAGCTGGAATGCACCACCTTTCACCCAGTCCGCCGGATCCCTCCCCTCCCCTCCCCCACCCCCAACTCCTGCCACACTCCAGTTGCTCCATGTCTGTTCAGTTGCAAAGCCTGCCGTCAGCACTCCATAATGGTTACTCTTCATTGGCAACTCGACTTGATTTGAATCACCTAGGAAACACACCCCTGGATGTGACCGTGAGAGGGTTTCCAGAGAGGTTTTGCCAAGGAGAAAGACCCACCTTGAAGATGGGCAGCACCAGGCTATGGACTGAATAAAAAGGGGAAGAGGAGGAAGCCAGCTAGGCACCAGCATGCATCTCTCTTTGCTTCCTGTCTCGATATGATGTGATCAGCTGCCTATGCTCCAGCCAGCATGCCTTCCCCACCATGACAGACTGCGGCCCCTCAAACCTTGAGCCCAACAAACCCTTCCTCCCCTAAGTTGCGTTTGTCATGAGTTTTAGCACAGTGGTGAGAAAAGTCACTAACACAGGCTCTTTCCTGGGAGTCCTCACAACATTCCTGAGGTGTAAATGCCACCCACATTCCCGATGGGGGAGGTGGAG